GTAGTAGTAGTAGTAGCAGCCGTAGTCGTAGTCGTAGTAGCAGTAGCAGTATCAATCGCAGTAGCAGCAGCGCTAGTTCAGTTGTGATAGTAGTAGTAGTAGTAGTTGTTGTTGTTGTTGTTGCTGATGTTGTTGTTGTAGCAGGAGATAGCAGGAGCTGGAGCGCAGCAGGTAGTAGGAGGAGCGGTTTGACTTGACTTGCTTCAGCCCGGCTGGGTTCGTTGGCGTATGTCGGCGTGCCCTCTTCCTCTGAAGCACATCTGACCCTGACAGACCCGTTGATATTATGACTCTGTTGCTGCTTCTGGCTGCTACCCTCACCACCATGACGATCCTTACCATGAGTGCCACAACCAGTCGTACTATGGGCTAGGCTTGGCTGGGCCTGGCTTTGCGTCAGTGGGCTAACGAATTGCTTCCTACTAGTTCCGTTATCACTACTACTAACTTCCTCCTTCTATTCACGGCCACCCTAACATTATGTTTGAATATAAATACAATTTCGGTGAGCCTTTGGCCCTTGGATGCACTCGGGGACTAGAACTAAGTAGGCAAGACTGGGATACGCACTGCGAATTGCATTCTTCCCCACTACAACATCACATATGCCCTCAGATGTGGACGCCGATCGATATGCAACAAACCCAGCGAGATAAAGCGACCCCTAGTAGAACTAGTACTACAGCTACTGTCACAACTGCTAGAACCCACCTTTAGTGCTAATCATGTCGACTGTGATGGCTAGTCCCACTGCTGTCAGTTAAGGAGCAAACATCACCGAAAAGCGCTCTTACCAAAATAGCGGTGTTTAGTCATAAACAGGTATAACGTTGAACGTCGTTTCCAGGAGTCCACAATGATAACTTGTGTTGCTATTGTCTCGGAGCTTCCCTTCGGTTCCTTGGACTCGCAGCGGAAACCAGAAATACTGGCGCAGGGCTGCTAAACTGCGCCCAGCCTTCAGGCCGAACTTGGCTCTGGGGAGGCCCTGATCACCAGTACGCCGGCGCGTGCCTTCGCCATGTCCAGCGGCATTTCTTCGAGCACAAATTCAACCAGTAGCATCAAGTTTCCGTGCCTGAAAATGCGCCGACATCTTCGTAGCCACGCTTCATGGCATGAAATTGTGCATCAATCAGCCCTCTGATGTCCTTATCATGCAGAGGGTACCTTGTCTGTCCCTGCGAGATGTGGACATCATGCTGAGCTTGATCAATACTGCTTCGACAACGGGTGTAGCTACGGTCGTGCGAAGAGCTGAAGCCCAGCCTACTCCTGGCCTGGCTCCTTCGGTATCGGTTGTCGAAATGCTGCCATTGCACAGTTGCAGGTGCATGTTGGTCACCCCACTCCGCTAGATCTGCAAAGGAGCCATGAGAACCATGGCTACGCTATTGGCTTCACGCTTGGACCATATGTGTTTATCCGCGCTTGGAAACTCGCACTCAGGTGGCATCAAGCAACAGCTCTCTATGGCTTTACAGTCGATTGAATAGCAATTCTTCCAACTGCTGCCTTTTTTCACAGGATCAGTCATGTGCAAGTCGGCTGGCCGTCGAATTCCAAGTTAACAAGGAGACCTTGAACAAGCAAGAGAATCCACCGCACATGCCCATCAAGCAGAAGCGACAAGTCAGTCCGAAGAAGCAGAGTCATGGAGAACATCCTCAGCTCCACGCACGATGAGCTTCACCGATCCCCTAAGGCCAGTTGCATTGGGTGAGCCTGCGCCTGATGCACGAACACGGGCAGTACAGCTGCGATAGCTTGAAAACGGCTTGCTGCCTTCAGCCCTGGCAAGATCTTCGGCCGCTTAGGAGGCGAGTCAACCTCTCTGCCTGGGGAACATGTTGGTCACATTTGGTCACCACAAACCGCAAATTCTGTACCTGGCTTGAGGGCAGTTCAGGGAGTCTCTCCTCGTCTCTCGGAGTCTCCGGTCCCGCTCTTCCGTCTTTCCGAATCATCTTCGGTCTAAGGTCCCCAGCGTAGGTTACTTATAGCCACTGGACACACAATGCTAAATTAACATCTCCCGCCTGCCCTATAAGTTTGACTGTCTCTCTTGTGCTCTCTCTGTCTCTCTCCGTTCCTCCTCTCTGGCTTAAAAGGTGAGTCAGGCCAGACGAACAGAAAGAGCGAGCGAGCGAGAGAGAGAGAGCGAGAGAGAGCGCGAAAGAAGCAAGCAAGCAAGAAAAAGCACGCGCACGCGCACACACACACGCTCACACAGACAGACAACTGAAAAAACGGCAATCCATGGCGAATCTCCCCAAAGGGGCGCAACAGCGGTCTGGGCGGTCTATGCCTATGTATGGCAAGGGACCACGTCAACGTACCACCTCCCTTGCCTCAGAGCAGGAAGGCCAAGTCAGTGATCTTGGAAGCGTAGCCGAAGTACACGCTGCCAAACCTTGCAGCAAGGCCACGCTGCACTCTCCGTGTGCTGTGTTCGCAGTAATTAAGCCGAGGGCTTGCCAGTGCCAGGCACGTGAAACGCTGAGTAACCTGGCCACATCCTCGAAACATGCGACGCAAGTGGCATGAGCATGAAGTAGTTGCGTGCTCCATTTTGCCACAAACTCTCATCAGTTTGAGACGGGGACAGCGAACGCAAAGTGACCAAGCCGCTCTTCTCTGGCTCCTGGAGGCTTCTCTCCGACCACGGGCCGCTCTCAGCTGCAGAGCCTTGCAGAGCGTCTCCTGCCGCACTGCCCAGCACCCTTTCGGCAAGTCGTCGGCAAGAGAATCCAGAAAGTTGCTCTGGAACTCCAACTCGGCAGCTCCAGGAGGTATCGTCTCTACACGGTCCAGTCGAGTCGTCGAGGGCCGGACATCGTTTGAAGCCTGCGCCTTCAGGCTCACGACCTGGGGTCTACTCGCAATGGCACATTCTGGGCTTCTGCCGCACTTCTGCCGAGCCGACGCTTGCGGGGGGTCTGAAGTGCACGTAGTTCTCCAACAAAGTAGCCTGGAAGGGCTCGGAGCTCTGCGGTTCTGTGGTCCACGGATGTTCTGGCATTTCTTGGCCTTCGCAGGCTCGAGGCCTCGGAAGGCGCTGTTCGGAACAACCACCTGTGCACCGCACTCGTCAGCAACGCCTTCAGCGCTCTCTCTCTCTCTCTCTCTCTTTGCTTTGCTTTGCTTAGGGCTTGAGGCAGGGGGCAGGCCCCCTCTCTCTCTCTCTCTGCTCTCCGAGTTTGATCGCGGTCTGGCCTGCGCCTCATTCAGCGAGTAGGCGCCTGCCGTGCAGCTGTGACCCCCCATCCTCCCATGCCCGCAGCCGGGATGCTTTGTCCCAGCCTTTAGGCACTGTTGCAGTGTCAAAGTCGATCTCCTGTCGGGACAAGCTTCAAGTTGACTTCGAAAACTTTGCATCATCTGAATCTGGACGTGCAGCAGGATCTGGCAATGAAGATCTCCACTCACACTCGCTCCGAAAAGGCCACGGCCTCCTCCCCTCCAAGCATCCACATATGTGAGCCCACATTTCGACGACGACCCACGTGGCTCGAACCCCACACAAGCGCTACTCAACTTCGAATCTTCTCCCCCCGACACCAATTAAAATCCCAACCCTAACCACCCTCCCCGAAACTCGAGCGCATCTCGAATTTCCTGCGAGAGACCCCAGGGAATTGTAAGGGGACACCACGGGATGTTGCATCTTGGACGCATGGGCCTGGACTAGCAGCGCGAGCCTGTCCAGCTCAGTCAGTGCTGGCCCTGCCTGTCACTGCCAACAGATGCCATGCCGTCAGGACTCAGTTTTCTCAAGACGGGCCTTGGGCTCCACACCTGCCCAAAAACAAAATCAAACATTGACAGCGAAATCCTGGCGAGGGCAGGCCTGCCACCGATTCCAGCAATGCACTGGGGTCGCCAGTCAGCGGAGTGGTCTTATTATTTCGAACAGGATCAGGACTAGAGTCTCAGACAATTATTTCAACGGACGAAAGCGCTACTTTCAGTTGACAAAACCTGTGTGGGACAAGTTTAACTTGGACAGCCTAAAGAGATCACAGCTGAGCACACCACCAACTGTAGCATGGAGACGGCTTCACCAACCTGGCTTCTGCACTTTGAGGTGCATCCCCGAGCCTTCCTCTGACATCATGGAAACCCGAGATCTTAGGGCCGTCGGAAGGTTAAGTCTCGTGTACAAAGCGCAGTTACGACGAGGGTGGGCGGGTCTTGAGATATGACAATGCTCCTAGCATGCACTGTATGGGATAATGAGCACCGACATGCAGCCTGCAGGTCTCTTTTCCGGCCTCCTCGGACAGGTCCGGCATGGCCTTGAACTTGAAGTCCTGTGCATTTCAACCCGTGACAGGCTTTGCACTACTTGCACGGGCCATGGCCATGATCCGCCCGTTCAAGCATCCCCAGCCTCGCCGGCATAGAAGAAGCGCTTGTTTGGATACGCAGGCTTCAGGTCCCGAATCTCGCACCTGGCGACATGCGTCGTACCCCCAGTGCCCAAGCTACCGTCTGAGACATCATAGCAGTCAAGTGGGCCACAACAAGTCAGTGCTGCGCTATGAAGTAGTCCCGCTCCTCATGCCAGATGGTAGTGAACGTGGGCTTTGACATGGGCAAACCTTCAATGGGCTTGTTGGCAGGCTGGTCCTTCCCAAGGATCTTGCCCCAGAACTGGATCACCTTGAGGAGAAGTGGTGGCTCCATGGGCTGACAGCATGGCATCGTGGACAGAGAGACGTTGAGGGCAGCGCTGGGTTCTTCTCAGTTGCCTTGAGCAAAGCGAGGCCTGCCTGGCTGTGCAGACAAAGGGGCTCAGAAGGCGTGTAGCGGAAATCCGAGGCGCCTGGAGGCAGGTTATCTCCTCGCAGCTGAGAACATGGCCCCCGGAGCTCACGGGGAGGCCTTCCAGGTCCTCATGACCGCGACTCAGGCGACTGAGGATCGGTGCATATCGGTGCAGCTCAGTGCCGGAACGGTTCCGGCAGATCAAGGTTGAGAATGTCTGATGTAGCGTACTTGATGACGACTTGGCTACACCGCGCTTGACTTAGGCTGCATGGGTTCGCTCGGGTCAGGATTCACAGCTGCGCCCGCCTCCGCATTCATGGCAGCGAAGGCACTTGCCCGGAGCTTGCTGCGAGAGGGCTTGGGCCAGGAAAAGCGAGCGACACCTGCGGCAACACCTGCAATGCATGACGCTAGGGCTCGCCACAGTGGCTGCTTGATTCTGCTTTCCATTCATTCCACAAGCCAAAAAATGGAAAGAATTTGAGTGGCACTGTGTGAAACCATGCTAGGCTTTCACGAGTCTGCACCCTGGACCTTGCCAGTGAAACTAGCCGCAAGTTGCATCGCTCGTGCGCTCTCCGGGGCACTTCACTGTCTTCACATCACAAGCCTCTACCCTTCGACTTGCGATTATTGCGATTGACGTTCTGAGCATCTGGGCTACGCAGCCACGCGGATATGCTCAGCTTGCGCTCAGCTCGATCGCAATGGTCGGCTGGAATTTGATAACTGGCAGGGACTCAGATGCGACTTTACTTGCGAGAATGGCCAGAAACTCGTCTCGGAAAGCATGTCACAAGCCAGGCTGACAAGGGGGGTTTGGCTTGTTGTTATAAACATCAATGACCTTTCCATCGTTGTGGATGCCCAAGGCAACCTGCACAGCAAGGCAACGACGGTCGAGGGTGGTAGGGTGAGCGCGACATTTCTGGATCTTAGGCCTCATTGGGATTCTGGTTCGGTCCAACCTGCATGCCACAGATGCAAGGGCTGCAAAGATCTGCAAAACATTGCAAAGCCAGATCCTTGGTCCAAGGTTGGAGAGCCCTTGCCTTGCGGCGAGAGAAGAGCTGAAAGTTTCCCAGCCCAGACGGTCGCAACCTCGAGATTTTAAGCATGCTTTTGCACATCCGAGATCTCCCCAACTGCCTTCGCCCCAATGCTGAGAGACTTGCATGAGCCGCATACCCGGGGACAAGGAGATGGAGATGTCCTGCAGAGTTGCGCTGTGCTGCTTCGGAAAGCAAGCAAGATGTTATCGACAGTGGGACATAATAGATGTGTAATTATCCGGTGCAGCGAGCAAGAGTCACCCTGGACTGGCGTGTTGGCGCTCTTCGTAACCTTTCCTCAGTTGCTGTTTCATTCAATGTGGGAGCGTATGACGTGCATTGGGCAACAGAACGAAGTCAGGCCACCATCTTCCACCGCTGCTTCATCTCTTTTCCCTCGCATTGTGGTGATTTGCGAGCAAGCTGCAAAGCCAAAAGAGAAAATTTTGACGGTTCAAATCGCCGGCCTCTGCTGTGTCTCCAATACCCCATTGGAGCTCAGATAGCCTGAACTGAAAATCAGAGGTGAACCAGAGTCTTTAGCACCCACAACTGACATCAACTGACAACATCCACTGTCAACTCGAAAATGAGCAGGGATGGGCAAAACCGAAACCAGCCTTGAAGGAGCAACATGCTGAACCCCGTGAATCGAAAAGGAGCGAGTCTTACGGGACCGGCAAGCGCCCAAATCGAAACTGCGAGATCAACTGCAATCCCTGAGTCTAAGTATAACCTAAACCTCATAAAGCAAAAAATCCAACAACAAACAATGGCCAGTACACGACTCGCTGCACTCTATGTGTCACATCGCGCCCAAGGCATAAAGACGAGTAAACTGAAACTCCGAGAAAAATGGCAGGTGGAAAGCCCCACATGTCATCAAGACATTCGAGTGAAGGGAGGGCTGCACACCGACCCCTCGGGGACTTAGATTCGGGCCTATTCATCTCATCATGACAGTCGCAGTGTCACACAGTGCCGGCCTCTTTTCGGCCCTGTCCCTTTCCGTGTTGCTGACGAAGAGCGGCCGAAGCTCTTCCACCTTTCAAGACAAAACTGAGTGAGCGGCCTGTCCCAGCAAAGCAGGATGCCCTGTTTAGATTGGGTTACAATTGGGAACCTAGAACCCCAGACCTGAGAGTCGTAGTCTGCCATGGCCCCGTGAAGCATGCGCAGCTTCTCTTTGACGTCAAGCTCGCCTGTGCAGCGCAAGGCTGCGATGTTGAAAAACACGGCAGATGAATGCATCAAATACGCCGGGCGCACGCTTCTTGCGGCGCATCTTGCGCAGCAGGTCTTTTTTCAAGCGCTGGTACAGTACCTGCTTTCGGAAAAGATTGCCTCACGGCTGAGCTTAAGACTGCAATGGGCCTGCTCCACGATGGAGCGCTGCACCAGAAAGATGGAGTGCAGCCTGAGATCGCAGCCGGGTGTACGCTGTCAGATTATGAGTGGTACTGACAAAAGCGTCGACAAGCGGTACAGGGAGCCCCACTGCTTCTCAAGCTCCTGCTTCAGGCCCTGTCAGAACTCAACGCATCAAGTGCAGAACTGCATCTGGAGCCGTCTGCCGAACTGCACCGAAAGCAGCTCGATTGAACTGTGTCTACAGTAGTTTATATGCGTCTTGTCCAATGCCATGGCCCGACAAAATTCTCTTCGGCCTCTCTCTCCGTGGCGCAAGCGTCACTCGACCCGTTCATCTTCTCCCTTGCAAGGACTTTCATTCGGGACTCCGGATCTGCTGATATCTGCTGAAGGTCGTGTTCGAATGCTTCGCTGAGGCCTTTTTGAACGCAAGAGGCTCCCTGTTTCAGAGGGTCTGGACGTCTTGCCCCGCATTCGCGGAATCGCTTCCAGGCGTCGGCTGTGAAACCGTGGGCTGGACTCCAAACAGCCTTCAGAAGTAAAGCAGCACGGTATGTCGGAAGAGATATGCTGAGTTAAGACTAGTGACATGCTCCATAACGACCCACACGAGATCCGTTCTCTCATGGCTGTGCAGGATTCTTGCCCATGAACCAAAAATCCACCTCCCCACAACAGCTGCATTCTGCAGGCCGGTGTAAACGGCGAAGGCGGCAATTGCAGATACATTTGCATGCCAAAGGCATGTTAGCACTCACTTGCGAGGTTCGCCCTTGCAGAGGAGGCAACCGTCATGAAGGTCGGAGCAGTCTGGGCAATCTGCCTTTGTGTCAAAGATGTTGGCGCTCGGGTTGCACCGCAGGCCTGGAAACGCAGCAAAATGGTTAGTGCAGTGCCACTGCAGCCGTCACACGCCTGGAGGAGCGACAAAACCGTGGAGTCAGGAGCATGGCTACCAAAGCAACCACCTTGCAATACACCGCGGCGAGGGGTCCAAATGCAAAGAGCGAAGCGTGCCTCCACGGCAGCTAAAGCAAGACACAGTCCTGCAAAAGAGCCCACGGATACGGATGCTATCCTCGAAATCTACTGGACGCCACCTCCCATGGCTCCGACAGCCCCTCGGTTGCCAAGGCCGTGCCTCCTCAGCGGACAGGTCGGTCTCTCGGAATGTGGAACATGTGGAACCGGGAGATGCCGGGCTGCCAGCTGAGCGAGAATGAGGCGTTTCTCTGCCACTCCCCAGTCATGCCAGATCTGACCTTTGGCGATTCGAGGCATCCGAGGCTCCAGGCTTCTGAGCGGCTCACTGTTTCAGCCCTTTGAGCTGTCCTGAGGCGGCTGCTATTCTCCTGAAACTGCACCTTGTAGCTCCCTTGAGGTAGTCCTCCCTTGATTACCGCCTCAGCCGCATTCTTGCGAGCAAGCTGAGCCAAGCAAAAGACCTGAAAGGATCCGCGCAGTCTGCCCTCCAATCCCGAGGACTGCGCCCATAAATTGCGAACATGTGGGGAAGCTGGAGTTCGGTACCACACCTTGCAAGGACTCAGAGGATGGTTCATGACCGCTTCCTCCTTTTCAGTTTTCACCACACAGATTTTGTCCGATTGTTTCCCACACCTAACGCCTGAGGGTCTTGCCTTCCAGTGCTCAACGGAGCTTGGGGTCAGCCAGGTCTGTGTCCTGCCGTCGCTTGCAATCGCGCCCGGATGCGGAAACCAACTGAGACCAAATCCGGACGAAACATAGAAGGCAGCCGTCCTTCGGTCCAACCTGGGCCCAGACATCTGCACTCCCGCTAGAAAATGAGATCTGAAGCGTCACGACTTCAGAACTTGGACACCCCCTAATCAGTGAACTGCACTCTTCGCTTGGGCCCGGTCTCCTCTATGTAAAAGCGCTCCTCGCCTGAACCCACAGAGTGATCAAGCGAGCACGGAGAGGTCACCGTACCCATGAACCATGTTTGGGCTTATGGCTTATGCATCACCCCAGACCCAGACCCCGAACCACATCATTCGTGACACCACCCGCCAGGTTCATGGGCCTTCAAGCGGAGAATTGATCTTCCCGTACCTCAAAAGCAGCAGCTCTTCCATGCAGCTTGGAAAACCGTGCAGACGCATCATGTCTTGGGTTGGGACGCTTCCTCGTCTGATGCAAGGGCGATGTCAGATTCATTGGCATCCAGCCTCAATGCGGCTGAATACGACAAGAGACACTATGTCAGTATGCACATTGACTCCACCCTTGTCGCGATTCCAGACATCACGGCGTTGTTGCAGTTTCTTGGAGTCCCCGCGTTTCCCAACCAGCGCTGGTATCTTTGTAAAATGTAAAGTTGTCCGTGAACCTTGGCTGCGAGCAGTGGATGCATATCCGGCACCGGCAGAGTAAGTGAAGCTGAGTGCTGAGCATGGAAAGCGACACGAGACCACAAGGAATCAGATCATCACCATCCGCAGCTGCAAGGGCAAACACATCTCGAGTTTGGATTCACTGGTTCTGCGCACAACTTGAGCAACGGGGAGCTGCAGTCCGGCACCTTCTACCTTGGTCACGAATGTGGTGTCGACGCCCCGGCGTAGCCTCTAAACATTGCCAGTTGAACAAAAAGAATGCAGCTGTTGTCCAGTCCAGAAACATTGGCACAACGGGTGTGCCTAACCCAAGAGCGGCTGTCCGCATGGGTACAGGTTGCCGCTGACAGGAATGTGTAGGCCTCGAGGTTGGCCCAGTGCACCCTCCCCCACTACAGCATGCTGCAGGGATTTCTGCCAAAGCAACTTCCGTACACTGGGATCACGACAACCCTTTTGTCTTTGCTTTCCGCGAAACTGTCAGGGGCGACATGACTGCTTCTCATGTCAAGCATGTGCACTATACTGGGATTTCCAAGTACAGTGTCCAATTCCATCGAGAGATTGATTTAGCAAAATCCGCTGGGGGTGAGGAAGATATGTGTTATATCTGTCTTCTGTGCACGATTCTGTCTCCCAATCTTGCTGATGCAGATCTCTCGACCGATCAACCGCCAGCATCACTGATTGAAGTCTCTGCAATGCCAGTCGGCACGAATCGCCCGTCCATGCATTGAGCAAGCCCTATCACATGTCCGAACTCGCCGCATCTCGCCCCGCCGCATTGCACGCTGAATAAATGTTAACCCCCCCTTGGCGGTGAAATAGGCCGGACCCCGACGTCAACTCGTCAATGCGACTGACAACATTATGGCAATATTTCAATACAAAACAGGTGACATCCGAAAACCGCTTCTGTATACCTGTTGTGACGTCGCCACGGGTTCGCCTGTCAGATACTCCGCCCTTACTAAGTCCCGCTCTACTATGCGAAACACTGCACTGAAGGTCCACCCCTTACAGCATGACATTCAGGTTTTTTTCTCTCTTTGCTTTGCATTTCTTAGGGGTTACTCTCTCTCTCTCTCTTTCTGCCGGGCGCAAGGGCCTCTCTTCCTCTCTCTGTCTCTCTCTATTTGCTTTGCTTTGCGTAGGGGTAAGACCAGGGTCTCTCTCTCTCTCTCTGTCTAAACCTACCTTAACAGCGGATCTTCGCGATTGAACCAAAGCTGGCGAAACTTGTCGCCTTTTGTGGTTGGCGAGGAGACTCAAGTCGTAGTACACGAGCACCTGGAAGAGATGATCAGAGACCCGACGAATTCGTGGCGATGACTCTAGCGGCTGAAGCCTGAGCCTGCTGAGCCTGCGACGTCATCCTCAAAAGCTTGATCTATCGAGAATTCCTGCAGGTTCAGGAGATTCCAGGAGTCGAGCACCAGCTCATCACGCTGCAAGCTGGCGGTCGGCCTTCTCTGTCATGTTTGCAGTGTAAGGGACAATCACCTCCGAAAGAGTGTCTCGCATGTCTCGCGGCTCTGGATCTGCTACAGTTAACAGCTGACGGCTACGAGTACCACCAGCACAAAGAAGCCCCGTTCCGCCTCTTGGAGAGACCCAGACTGCAAGAGGAGCACTGTACCCAGGACTAGGAAGAACGCGAAGGCGCCCGCAGTTAGCACCTGTGGTGCGGTCCAGCTCTTGCCCTCGATAGTTTCAGGCCCGGCCGAGGCCCATGCCACTTGGCAGCAGTAGGCAAACAACCAATACCTCATCCAATCAATTTCTGCCACGAGACCGTTGAACTGCCTGGTCGACAAGACAATCGCCAGGTCCCCAACGGCAGCATGATTGCCGAGTCAGGCTGCTGTGAATGGTACCAAATACAGCGCCGTAAGCCTAAGATTCCGCCGTCACACTGTTGGACGAAACCACTTTGTGGAAAGCTCTCGGATTCATGCAGCCGCGTCGTTGCAGATCTGCAGAGTTTGATCTCGGCCCCCTCGCTCTCGCACACATATCCACACACACACACACAAACACACACACCACATCGGCAGCTACATGACGAAGCCCGGTCGCACCTGGACTGTCTGGACTGCTGTGAAAATGCGACAGACGGCGGCCCTGCAGGCGGCACGGTACTGAGGATTCCGATCAGAGCCGGAGGAAGCTCATCATACGCACGGGATCCCAAATTTACTCAGCAAAGCACAGCACAGCAATGGGAATCGTAACTGCCGCGGAGGTGCCTGTCGATTTGGAAACGCAGCCCACGTCCGGGCCCGCAGCCTGGCTTGACATTGGTTTGGTCAGGGTCCAAGAGCTTGTCAGGCTTTCGACATGTTGTCACAGCCAATCAACTCTCGTCTGTTGTCTTGGCTTTGATACGCCTATGACTCTGTGACTGAAGCCTCGTGGCCCTGAGGGTATGAAGGCTTTGACCGGCTTCGGGGAAATGTCCAAAGTCTTGTCTCATCTAGAACCTAGGGCCCCCTGCTGCGAGGTGGCACAGCACACAGCACAAGCTAACACAAAACATTCGAAGATCCGGGAAGGTGCTCAACAAACACGAGACGACAGGACTCATTGCGATGTGCGGTGCGCCTCTGCTGGGACGTTGCGGTCCTGAAAAACTACGTGTCTTACAAAAACTTGTTGGCACTCAGAGGCTGGGTTGCTCACATCGTCTTTGGCCTGCTCCTCAGTCTACTGCAAGGTGGGACAGGGACCGGGAATAGACTTCCACGTGTCAGATCACCATCACTCAAGCCGGGAGTGGTTCGAACTGCTGCAAGATGTTATCGTCCGCTTCTTTGACCATCTTGCGAGTTGAGATGGGCTCCTCCTGGCGGGCGATGCTGCCGGCTCCCGGCAAGATCTGCTTGCTACTTTTACATAGATCTCCGAGTGCACGCCGCATGCAGCACAACGCGTTGCCTTGTCTGCACCATCACCTGGGGGGAGCTTGATGTCTGCATGATTTTGCAGGGCACGGGGAGACATTTTTGCTGGGGCATCTTCTCCGCAGACCTGCCGCGAAACGGCTTAAGACGAGCTGACGGCCATTCAGCTATCAGCTCTGGCTTTCAGCATGCAACATGCGACAAATATTGCTGCGCGAACCACAGCAGGAGCCACTAGTTGGCTCCGAACTAATTGACTTGCCTCGCATCTCACACATGGCATCTTGGACAGGTGCAAGGCCACAGAGCCACACGATGTTGCAGGGGCCAGGGTCTAAGTTGTCAGAATGCAGATGCTAATTCGCACGAGTTCTACTATGACTATTGCTCCAATCGTAGATAGGTTGATGCTGTTGCCTCTCGTCTGGCATAGCTCTTATCGTGAAAGGTACGACGATCCAGCTCCAGGATCCATTACAGCGGCGTACTCTCTGGCAACGGCGCTCAGCTCAGCTCACCTCACCTGAGGTTTGCAGGGCCAGGTCGCAGTGTCTACACAAGGCGTGTGTCCAGGATCTCACTTTGACGTTGCTGTGAGGCGATGTGACAATATGTGATGCCGAGCAACGCGAAACTACACCACCCGTGTCTGTACCTGCCAGTGGGGCCGGGACGGGACTGCACAAGCTCCACTGCAAAGGACTGCGCTCCGTAAAGCATGTCATGGGACCAGAGTGCACACAGCAGATAATGCGGAGTACAGCACTCTGCAGATCTTGGCCTGGCTGACTCTCATCAGTTGTTGGGGCGCAGCGGGCAGCCCACTTGATCGAATAGCCATGCTCAGCGGCGGCATGACCTTCAGTCTCTCCCCCAGCGCTGACATCAGGAGAGCACAGACATTGCAGCCCTGCCTGCCCCTTCCAATCACGGGCAAAAGGTACGGCAATGGTGGCTCTGCTCGGCAGCTTGACATCCCGAGCTTCCCTGAATGGGTCCTGGCATGTGGCATGTGAGGCGTACACTCAGGAGCCGAAATGAGCTCAGACTGCTCTTTGGGGGACTCCTTAACCATCTGCGGAGTGGCCACCATCCGCGGCATGGATTTGATCGGTGTAGTCGTCTGCTCCTGGCCCTGCAGACTTCGAAATGTGAGAAATACAACCGTGCCGCTTGTCCTCTCGAGCAGCCGTGTACTGAGCCACACTGACACGAATCTCGCTCAGCCCTGCGCCGACGAGGTCATCTTGGTGGCTATCACGACTCTGTCCTGCTCGGAGGCGTACTGGGTTATGAACCTAGACACCTATACGAGCTGATAGCTTGTTGATCGCCTAACGCCGCCCCGGAATGATTGTATGTGCCCCGATTCCCCAATCAATCGTGACTCTCCTGTGCAGGCGGTGTTGGTCCGTCTTGGCTGCGGGATCGGAAATAAATCGGTGCCGAGGGCGGCGGAGGCGTGTGTGCAGGCACCGAGGGGTTCCCAAGGCTCCGTCGCCTGAAACAGGGACAGCAGGTGCGTACACACCAGAGCTTCGGCAATTCCGAAAACACGCAACTCGGACGTAAAGCCAAGAAGCCATACATTCGCGGGCTGTGCGTTGCTATACCTTGGAAGCTCTCAGGCTTTCAACGCAAGACACAGAGTCATTTTACACTGCCAAAGAACAGAAACGATCCTTGCTCTTCCACAATCCTCCCTTCTCATTCGCCTTTGCTTACAGTCATTTAATGGACCAAAATGGACCGCAAAAACCGCAACGAGCCTCCTGCAATCTAAACGAAGCCTTTCACACGTTTTAGATCAGTAGAAGACATCAGGAATTGGGGGCTCAAGATCAAGACCTAAGCTTGTTGCGGTGCAACTGCAGCGTCGCGGGCCTTTTGGAGTGAAGAGGGCACTTTCTTTATAAGCAAGGCTGTAGAGCTTCTGCAGGAGCTTCTTGGACTCGGTTTGGCAAAACCAGTGAGCCATCAAGGCGAGCTGCTGGGGCAGCGGCACGGGTGGCCCACATCTTGTTACCTCCTACAGGGAATGGCATCGGTCCACTTGCGGATCCTACCATTGCATCCTATCCTATGCATCCACAACAGACCTCTACTTGATCGGCTCATGCCCCTGGCCTGATGGACATTCACGGGCTGCCTGAGTAGGTTCAAGCGCGGAAAGGAGCTTTGAGATGGCGGGAGGGATTCGGCTCCAGGCTGCGTGTAAGGTCCCTGAGAGGGTCTTGACCACTGCACCAAGCCTGCGAGTCTCTGCGAGTCTGCGAGGCCACTGAGAGGCCATGAAGCTCCTGACCTGGCCTCCCGTGGGCTCCATTGGGGAGCAGGTTGCAGCACTCTCCAGGCCTAGCTGGACAGCGCATGTGCAGCATCCTATATGTGATGGCGTCTCCCGCTCTTGTCGGCTGGCCTTGTATGGCTGTGACACTTGACCTTGACTTCACAAAGCAAGCGCAGCTGCTGGACACCGTCACTTTCAAAGAAGGTGTCTGAGGATGGCGGCTCTCTTCCGGGAGAGCTGCTTGGGGAAACATCATCCCGACCCTCCAAAAACGACTAGCTTGCAGCCACTGACCATTAGTCTTGACACCTTGACAGATACTGCTACCGGAGGTCCTCGAAGCTGGCTCCCTGAAGGGTCGTCTTGCTTGAGTTGCACAGAACCTGGAAGGCACGCCTTACGCAACGAATCCATGTAACAGGTTGCAACCCAGTGAGTCGCTGGCGCCATCGAAGGTCACGGCTCTGTTCGGAGAAGCCTCTGCCTGACACACACACACACACACAGAGACTCGTGCACACGCACATGCAAAGAGCATCTGCTCAGAAGCATCACCATGCCACTTTACTCTCTGCCCCATCGGCGGCCTCCTCGCCCACTTTCTGCAGCAGCTTGTTCAGCTCTCTCGACACATGGCCCATGGTCAGCCTGAAATTTCTCATGGCTGTGCACTCATGGAGGATGCGGTCTCTCTGAGACGGAAACTCCAGGTTCTTGACCTGAAGATGGTGTCCGCCACGGGGCTTCAAGAGAGCCAGAGCCGCGTGAAACAGCAAGCTGTCAAGCTCTGGTCCGGGCACTCTCGGCGCAGTTGGATGCCTCCAACAAATAGCGGTCCCGGAAAGCCTGGTACAAGGGTTTAGGGTGCAGTCTCACACAAGTCTTGAGATCAAACTCTCGCACGGGGGTGGCCTCGTGTTCGCGCCGCACCACCTCCACTATTTGAGTCTGGATCTCCTTGGCACGAGGGTTCACGTGACTCCGTGCAAACGAGGCGGTGTCGGGACATCATTTTGCCTTCGGCCTCTGGTGCCCAGATGCAAGCTCAACAGAAGTCTAGCTTTCGGGCAAACAGGGCTTTGAGAGTTCTGCCTGGCTTGTCGTTGCAAGGCGAGACACAGAAACTTCGCGGGAGGTGGACACCTCGGAGCACCTCGAAGCTGGGACTAAGCCCAAAGCCCCGTCTGCATCGATACTCTAGCACAGTCATTGTTGATACTAGTACGTACAGCTTCCGAGGCACGGGGGTGTGATTGGGTCTTGGCTGACACCTGAGATCGGCAGCCCAAGTCTGCCACGAAAGATGCGAGGAAATGCAAGAACTGTCGAGAGCTCTTGATTTCAACCATGGGGCATATCGTCTCTTGCGACATCATCTTGAGGTTCACGGCATCCATCTCGACACGCAGCGCGCGCACCTGCACTTCTGCACTTTGGGCAAAGTGATGGCGCAGGCTGAGCTGCCCACCCTGCTCCAGGGCCCCCAGGCCCCGGATGACAAAACAGACCAATGTGAGCGCAATGCTTGCAGTCCAAACTGAGTCGATGGCTGCCAATTTTGTAAAGCAAAAGACATGCTGCAAGTCCGACCTCATCTTCCAGCGACATGGTCTGGTACTCTGCAGGTTCGGCAGGCCGTGTAGGGGCTGAAGAGAGCGTGGCCGCTGCCTCGCAGCCACACATATTCACACACACACACAGACACGCACGAATGTCCTGGGCGCATAGTGACTGCTGTTGGTCCTTCGGTGTCCCGTTTATCGAACGCGTGCTGTACGACTTTCGATGCTGACTATTCAACATACTGACTGAAACTAGACCTTCTCATTTGAACGGCTCCTGAAGGCAATATTCAACGCGCACAGAAGCAGCACAGCTTCGGACCAAGCAAAGCCCGGAACAACAAAATCATAGGATGATTTGGCTACAGGTCTATCTGCCATGGCAAGCTGCGCCACACCCTCCGTTTGCCTCACGCAGCCTTGAAAAAACCCACCCCATAAAGCACGAGCCTGAGCGTCGGCATCGAGCCGAGGTCGAGCATCGATCAAAGCACGAAGCTCCGAAATCTGCTGCTCGATGCAGCAGAACCTCGCAAGACACTGAAAGTCCGCAAGCTGGGGTCAACAAAACGTCTAGAAGTTCCCAGGAAAGGGAATGTATTCAAAATCTGTCGATGCCTGCTTTTCGATTTTTCACCGTCCACTCGTGGCAGCTGTTTCTTATTGTGCTTGGCACCACTATAGGAACCCGAAATAGCACCCAACACGTAAACCATCGTGACCCTTTTCGGGCAGAAGCGGTAGGCTTCAATTACAAAATAGTTCGTGTACACGTGCTTTTCGATCTCCCAACAAAGCATACATTGCTGGATTCTCCTCGGGAAGTAAAATCATACTGCCGGAATTCTGACTCCCTGGTTCTTGCTTGCCATACTCGCTTCCTTCGGATGCCTCCGAGGAGCGCTTTCTGCTGCTCCCCTCGCAAGTGCTCGGCGAGATCCTGCACTCCCTGCCGGACGGCCTGGAGCTCAGCCTGTCACAAGCACTCGGCCTCCTAAGCCGCTCCAGCGCCCTTCCCCAACAGCAAAAGCATCGAGGCCTCGACGCCGCTGCCAGCGCGCTTCTC